TCAGATCATGGGTTGGACAATGGAAGATATTTTCTGAAGGGATTTGACAGATGTGAAGGGTTATCCTGGTGGAGGGTGGAGCTGGGAAGTAAGTGGGTCAAGGCACTGGGCTAAGGGTGGGGTCAACACTGTAACTAATGCTTAACTCCACAATAAGGGATTACAATAAGGGTATTGTTTTACTGAAGAAAAAATGTGATTATGAACATAAAGTATTAGGTGGCTGTTGGTGCCATTGAGTCACCTACCACTTATAGTGACCCTATCTATAACAGCCCTAAACCCTGCACTAACCTGTGCCAATCTCACTGTCTCCGACACACCTACCCCCATTACCTCAGTCACTGAATCAATCCATCTCATAGAGGGTCATCCTCTCCTGTGCTGTGCCTCCACCCTCCCAAGCATGACGTCCTTCTCCAAGGACTAATCCTTCCTTGCAACATGTCCAGAGTAGGGTCAGACGAAGCTTCAGAATCCTTGCCTCCAAGGAGCAGCCCGGCTTAACCCTCTCCAGGGTGAACCCTGTTCGTTCTCTTAGCAGTCCATAGTATATTCAATATTCTTCTCTAATACCACAACTCAAAGGCATCAATTCTCCTTCTATTATCCCTAGTCATTGTCCAGCTCTCTGATGCATAGCAAGTGATTGTAAAGACCATGGCATGTATCAGGCAGACTGTAGTCTCTAGAGTGACATCACTGCTCTTCAGTACTTTGGAGAGGTCTCTAACAGCAGACTTTCCCATTGCAATACATCTTTTAATTTCCTGGCTGCTGGTTGCCAAGAGTGTTGATCGTGGAGCCAAGCAAACTAAAGCTGTTAACAATTTCAATCTCTTCACCATCTATCATGATGCTACAAATTGGCTTAGTGGTGAGAATCTTTGTTTTCTTGATATTGAGCCTCAATCCATATTGAAGACCACAGTCCTTGACCTTCTGCAGGAAGCGTTTCAGGTCCTCCTCAGTTTCATTAGGAGCCTAGCAAATCTTCAGTAAGTATTCATGGTTATTACTATTCATACATTCTTCTCGAAGACTGAAATTTTTGGATCAAGATTGTTGTTGTGTATCATTGAATCGGAGCCGACCCATAGATTACTCTCTCAGAGGCAGTTAATCGTAGGGGAGATTGCCTATCCTTCTCCCACAGAGAAGCTGGTGGATTTGAACTGCGTGCCTTCAAAACTGAAGTGTAGCTTCTTGCCACTCGGCCACCAGAGCTCCCTGAGTTAAGATTACTGGGATGGGGGTGGGGTGGGGTGGAAAAAAGTATTAGTGGTTCAGGAAGCTCTGGTGGACTAACAGGTAAGGAGTTGCAGTGACAACCCAAAGGCACACATTTGAATCTACCTCTATAGATGAAAAATGGGCAGTCTCCTCCCTCTGAAAACCTGCTGGAGGGTCAGCTATGGGTCAAGTCTGACTTCACAGAAATGATTCTGACCTTGACTTTTGATTACTAGTTCAGGAAGCTACCTACTTGGATGCTTGAAGGAAAGTCTACAGTAGAATTATTTAGGCAAACAAACCATTCTAGGTACATGTCATAGCCTTTTAATTGAATTTTCATTGTCACAGATACATAGAGATCAGTTGATACATATGGACTTAAAAAACTGACTAATCAATACTTAAGAATTTATCAAAACAGAAAATTATAAGGACAGTTATGTTACCCAAATCCAAACCATACCCAATGCTTTCAAATCACAACTCGTAGAGACCCTATAGGACAAAGCAGAACTACCCTGAAGGGCTTCCCAGGTCATAATCGTTATAAAAGCAGATTGCTATAGGATTGTCTTTTACAAGGTGCTACCAGAATAGAAATGTTATAAAAAAATATGGAAGTAGGTACCAATACAGTAATTATTGCTTTCTAATGAAATGGTTTCATTCTTTCTTCATGCCTTTTAATTGAATTTTGGAACCCCCTACCCCCCCACCAAACCTACCAAAATTAAGATTATTTATATTCTAGTAATACAACCCCTTCATTTGTTCCCCTGCTAGATGGCTGAAGAAGAACATGCAGCCCACAGAGGATCTCCAGTCTGCTATCCAGAGGCTGTCTGTGTTTGGCCCCATCCAGTCTTTCTCCCTCTGTGGACGACAAAGCGCTATTGTAGTATTCGAAGACATGACCTCTGCCTGCAAAGCTGTGAACGCTTTTCAAAGCAGGAGTCCAGGCACCATGTTTCAGTGTTCTTGGAAACACAGATTCCTGTCAAAAGATATAAGGCTCCTCCGGAAATCCTGAAAGCTTAGTCTACATAATTACTTTTCCCACCAGGGCTTTAGTTTTGAACTGCTTTAAGAAAGACATTGGCATTGAATAAAGGCACAGTGGAAGTTTATTTAGTACAAGTACTGGAAATCAGAAGTAACATCACACCTTTCCCTCTGAAGTACATGTTTTGACTATGCTGCCATCACAGTTTTGATTTTCTAGATAAGAAGTTCATGACTGCATTTACACACTCATCTGACACCCATCTGCTCTGGAGGGCAGTGCATTCTTCGGAATTAACAGCATGTAGCTTCTCTTTCTCCACATTTCTGATAAGCTGCTTTGAAATTCTCATGGCCTGAAGAGAACAAACCAACAATAAGATCAGAATTAATTTTATAAAGGGTGAGACTTTTTGGTGACTATTACTTATTGCACCACTGTCCATTAAACAAAGCCTTGACATTTATATTTTAAAAAGAACCCGGGTAAAATCAGCTGCTACAGAGTCAATCTCCAATGTGTCAGAGTAGTAACTATGCTCTATATAATTTTCAGTAGTTAATTATTTGAAAGGAGACCATGAAGACTTTCTTCTGAGGTGCCTTTGGGTAGAGATGAATCTCCAATTGTTAGGTTAGTTGTTGTCATTGTTGTTATGTACCATCAAGTCACTTATGACTCACAGCGACCCAATGTACAACAGCCCTAAATCCTGCTCTATCCTGTGCCAATCCCACTGTCTCCAACACACCTATCCCCATTACCCCAGTCACTGAATCAATCCATCTCATTGAGAGTCTTCGTCTCCTGCACTGTTCCTCCACTCTCCAAGCATGACGTCCCTCTCCAAGGACTGCAACACATCCAAAGTATGTCAGAAAAAGCTTTAGAATTCTTGCCTCCAAGGAAAAGCCTGGTTTTACCCTCTCTAGGATGAAAGTGTTTGTTCTCTTAGCAGTTCCTGATATATTCAACACTTTTCTCCAACACCACAGCTCAAAGGCATCAATTCTTCTATCATCCCTAGTCATTGTCCAGCTCTCTAATGTATAGCAAGTGACTGCAAAGACCATGGCCTGTATCAGGCACACCTTAGTTTCCAGACTGACATCACTGTTCTTCAGTACTTTGGAGAGGTCTCTTAACAGCAGACTTTCCCATTGCAGTACATCTTTTAATTTCCTGGCTGCTGGTGCTAAGAATGTTGATTGTGGAACTAAGCAAAAAAAAGCTATTTATAATCTCAATCTCTTCACTATCTATCATGATGCTGCCAATTGCTCAGTGGTGAGAATCTTTGTTTTTTGATGTTGAGCTTCAGTCCATATTGAAGGCTTCAGTCTTTGACCTTCTGGAGCACACGCTTCAGGTCGTCCTCAGTTTCAGCAAGCAGGGTTGTGCCATCTGCATAATGCAGTTTGTTGAGTCTTTTTCCAGTCCTGATGCCACATTTCTCCCCATAGAGCCCAG